ACAATTAACATACTTAGCTCGACAGTCATTAATATAAGAACTAATGCATAACACTGCCACCATCAACTCTATCTAAAGAGATAGATAGCTCCTTTTGTGCTAAAGAAGGATTAGGTTTTGTAGGCTAAGAAATCTATGTGTGAATAGGATATGGGGTTGTTTTTGTTCAAGATCAGAATACAGCCATCATTTTCACTATTCATGGAAGATTCATTCCGGGCTCCCTCATACGTAACTAAGGTTGTAGTAATTCCTTATGGAACCAAAGTTTTCACTAGTGTTGAGTCCATTTGAAATGATAGTGGTGGGTGAACTCGCAGATTCCTTCGAGGGGCCTTTATCCTAAACATTTAGAAAAGACACACTTAAGTTGTTTATACTACTTAATCATAAACAAGTATGTAGGAGTTGTATCGTATGATAGAGTATTAGTGTAATTGGTTCCTAGAATCCCAAGGATTTCCAAATTATAGAGTGAGATTGACTCATGAAATCCTATCGATTTCCAAACGACAGGGGAAAGGTGAATAATTCAGAAATCCTCTAGACTTCCAAATGATAGAAAGGGAATTGAAATCCTTTCAATTTCAAATAATAGAGAGAATTGAAATCATTGTCATTTTTGGAAGAAAGAGGTTTGGAGACTATTGAATGATTGCCTGGGAACATATAGGTTTCCCTGCTATGAAAGTAGCAAAGCTATCGATTCTTCGGATTTCGGTGAACTAAGAAAATCTGAACATTATCCCATATTTTTAATTATTTTTATGATTTAAAATGTATATGTTTTTTTGGTGTTGATATAAGGTTTCTAAGGTACTAGGTATCTGCAGTGAATCTTGAGAACATTATTCAATCTCTAGAACCTTCAACCATTGTACTCTGTCAAATTCCTTGCTCAAGGTTGGTTGTGCACCGGCCTGACCATAAATAACATAGGTGTGCATTCAAGGTTTATTTGTGGTATAGCTTATGTATGGTACTAACCTTAGTTGAGGCATTTGACCTAAAGGTTGTGTGGGTAGGTTTAGTTGTAGGGGTGTTTAAAATTTTATTAAATGTTCTCATGCGGGTCAGAGTATATATATAACTCTTATATATTATCGTTTGTGATGTTTTTAGTATTATTAAAATTTGTTTTGTACTCCAAGACTACTATATACATACGAAGGACAAACATTAAACATCGGAGGGCAGGATTAGTTTAGTAATTAAGTTATTCTGAATCCAACAACCCTATGTGGCCCTTCAAACCAGATTCCCCGTACCATAAGTAGCCAAGAAGTAGTGTAATTAATAATAATACTTTTATTAGCTTGTTGCTATATTTGTATTTCCTCTTTCAAGGATACGATTTCTTTATAGTCAATCTAGCTCTGATACCAATCTGTCACATCGTCGGTCGAGGCGGTGGAACATGTCGGGTTGTGCGACTAAGTGCATGGATCACATGTAAACTGAATATATAACATGAGTACAACAATAAACAAAAAAGCATTTGTATTCCATTTTTGAGTTTAATACGAGGTTCTTACACATAATAATAGTACATTAATTGTCGTAACAGGTAGGCATACATAACAAAACTAGTAAGCTAGATTGTCTGAAAACCATGATTATTCGTCAACTGAATACTTGAGTTATTGATTTCCTAATAATACATGTAATTTTGACGGTCAACATAAAGTTGGTGAGAGCTACAGGCTTTCTGCCGACAACAGTAATGATATTAATAAAAGCGTTCAAAAAGTATTTTCTTTATAAGAAAACCATATTTAACTAAACTTTGAAAAACCAAAATATGTATTGGTATAAGTAAATCCATGCTTAAAACGATTTGGAAAGAATCAAGTTTATGAGTTGTAGTAAGGGAGAGAGAGAGAGAGAGAGAGGGAGAGAGAGAGAGAGAGAGAGATTCGAGTTAATATTTATAGTGATTTCTATAACCAAGTTGTGACCGAATGTACCATGCTATAATGCTTATTTGGATGTCGTAGTAATGATAGTAGACACTTATTACTCGCTTCAGTTGATCGGTCTAGGTTGTAGCTAGCAACCACATGTGGGGACGTTAAACCCGTATAGATCTATGCATATGTATCTCTTTCTGAAGATTAACGGTTATAGTAGTGTAGGTATGCTAAGTGTTTAGACTTTATCTAATGAATAGTGTCTCGTTATAAAGCCCTTAACTAAGATATGAATAGCTCTCAGCCCTAACTTAAATGTGGATAAGTTCTAGGCATAATGAATCGTATATAGTTTATAAAATTTGAGCATAATTGGTATGCATGTATAGTATAAGGAACTAGCTATTATAAACTAAGTATGATTCTTGTATAAACTTTGTACATATGCATGTATAGTTCAAATCCTTAAGAATACTACAAAGTTTTATGACATGCATTTTATAACACACAATGTCACGTAAAAATCTTAGGGTTTTGTAGTAAAAAGGCATATGTTATTTTTGAAAGTTGTGTTGTTTTAACAACATAACATATGAAAATATTTAAGTTAAAAACAAGTTTATGTGTTTGTAACATATAAAAGGTAAACCAATAATTTATAAACTAGTTATAGTTTTTACATAAAATAATGATACTTTATGTGTATTTTTGTATTATCTAGCACAAGTAGTACATCTATTTTCCTTAGAAAATATATCAAAGATGGTTCGTAACACTTACCTTAAAGTGTGGTTGTCGGGTCATAGCGAGTATTCGATGCGAGGAACCAAGATGTGTTGCTTCGAATACAAACCTTCGAGATTAATTTAGTTTCCTAAGAAATTTTAATATAAAAGGTAAACCAATAAAATTAATACCCTAAACATTACACACTAAAATAGTGTATAGTGGTAAAGGGATCGTATCCACAGAGATTGGTTCAATTTAAATCTCTATGTAAATCACTTGTTCACATACTTATAAAACAAAAGTAAAAGTAAAACGAGGGGGGTTTAAATCTTTTTGATTGTTTGACAAAATTAAAACTAGCTAGAATGTAAATATGACAAGTAAACAAGTAAAAGATTTGATTAAATTTAATGAAGTGAAATTGGTTGATTTTGGGATACACCACATGGATGACATAGTTGACTTATCATTAGGCTAAAAGAAACAACACTTGTAAATTGATTTAATCTGGCTATAGCAATTCATAAGTACAAATTACCTCAACTCTTCTTAGATATTAAAATTGTTAGAGGAGCTCTAACACATTTCCTTAATTAAAGTCACAAAATCAATGAAGTATATAATCTTGTGAAAATCAATTAGCTTTAGGTTCTAAGAGTTACCAAGTCCAAAAGATAATCAAATGCTTACATTATCATTATGGAGTAAACATTCCCATGGTCTAAATGAAAGGAAAACAAACATATAAACCATTTGTTTCTTACAACTTTGAGGGCCCATTACTTAACCAAGAAATTAGTCGACAAAAAATAAATATTTATTCATCTAAGCTCATGATCAAAGATAAACAAACATAACAAGATGTTTAACTAGAAAACATTCCCATAAAATTCAACACAAGATAACATTTAGTCTTCAAAGAAACCAATCATCCATCGAATTTAACCCTAATCAACCAAATTTTGTTTAGCCAAACATGGCTAAACTCAAAGAAACAAAGTTAGAAAAGATTTTACGAAACATTCTACAAGATTCAAGAGAAAAAATGATGAAGTTATTGAGGGTTATTGGTCTTCCAAAACCTCCAAAATCTTTAGAGAGTTGTTCAAATTTCGGATATGCAAGAGTGTGCAAAAGATGCACACCAACCTTCCCCATATAGCCCTCTAAATGAAATTCTGAAACTGCCCCTGTTGAGTCGTGCGCAGCCGCGCAGCCCTGCATGGGTGGGTTTCACAGGTGGTATCAAATCATGAGTTCTTGAGAGTTTAGGCCTCCACAACTTAGCCCGCTTGCCCTAATTCGAGTCCAAACAGCTTCTAGCACATTTTTCTTTAAGTTCACTTCATTTTAAGCCCAATTTATCTTCTCCAAATCCTCTAAAGCTCGTGAACTCACCCGATTAATGACCTCCACACGCTCGAATATTTTTCCGCATCTTGCAATTTTAAAGTTCATTTTCTCCAAGCCTTCAAATAATCATTCAGCCCACTCCATGCATCAACTCCATTATCACCAAGGCTATAATTCTCGACTTTCTCTTATTCTAATCGCCTTCCAAACGTCCTGAACACTCCCGCTCCACTAATCTCCATGAAATCTGCAATAAACCTCACGAAACTAGAAAGTACCCGAAATGGTCATAAAATAACAAAAAGGAAAATATGCATGGAAAATAACAAAATTATGGGTGAAATAAACTAATATAAACTATAAAAAGAAGTAAAGAAAATAAACTATCAGTACACGCAGTGTACGCAAGCAGATTCCAAACCCTAATTTTTAAGGTTTAATCCATATAATTAACTCAAACCCTAGCCTCCTTACCAGCCTCTCAACCTCAAAAACTCTAGATAGCCTCTTATCACTACTAGAAAAACAGCCTTTTACGACGCGCAATTTATGATACGCATTGATTCACGATACGCAAACGAGTGTGATCTAAAAATAATGTCATCTCTCTATAAATTTTAAAGATTTAGGGCGCGCATTTTGCGTACCCTTAAATTAGCGTCTAAAAAAAACACGGAGGGCGCCTATAATAAAACGTGTGTCGTCTGAGGATGTCGCTTTATAAATTTTAATGGAAACGCGCCTTCCATCCTTTAGTAGCTGAGGGGAAAAATGAAATCCTAAAAAATTAAAATCCCCGCCTTCCTTTTTGTTCCTTTCCCTCTTGCCCTAATTATCGACGTTCCTTCCTTCCCCCTGCCGACATTGACTGCCACCTACTTCTTCCCTCACACTTCGACCATCGTTACTTGCCATTCCCGGTCGTCGACGTCGATCAAGGAAAGCACGCCACCAGCCGAAAACCTTCAATCTCTCCTTCTCATTTTCTCTGTAAACCCTAATCCGTATATGGTTTCCAGTCGTTTCCCCAAAGGAAACAGATTTGATCCAATCGTTTCCCCAGAGGAAATAGATTTGAACCCTCTTGAAGGAAGATCCGGGCCCATTTATGTGATTGAATCCGCTTCGTATGTGTTCGATCCAGAGATTTTAGGGTTCTTTGAGGCGACCTCAACCCAGCAGCTCGTATCGGGAGAAGGTATTGCTGGTAAAGCGTTGGGTACAAACCAGTAGCTCGCAGGTTGTCCATCATCAGCCACACACCGTGTTTTCTAGGCCACAAAGACTTGGAGTAGATGAAATTGAAATTGAAATTGGTATTATCTAGCTGAATCGATATCGATTTGACTCCAAATTGCAGTCAATCGAAGGATTATTTGGTAAGGTGCACTCCTCTATATTGTAAAAATTGCTCTTCTTTCTCCTTTATTCATGCCTCTGATTTCGATTTTGATTCTTCTTGTATTCTCCTCTGTAAAACCCTGACTGGAAAAGTGATATCTAGATTTCCCATTCTTTCTCGTTCCTATATCCCTTTGGCACTTACCGATTTTTCTCCCTTCCTCGAGACAAACGTCGGTCACCTAAACTCAAATCCTCTAAGGATACCTGCTCTGATTCATTCCCAAAAATCAAAAAATCTCGTTGTCTATCCCACAGTTTATCAATTCAGAATTTTGGGAGACAGAATATTGCCTCATTTGTGGTTCGTGGCCTACACTACTGCTTCACCGCCCTGCTCCACTCTTATCTGCCCTAGCTTGTCCGTCCTCTACCACCTCCTTCATATGGTTATGTTTATGAATGTATGTTATTCTTGATTCAACACATTCTATGGCAGCTAAATGCAATTTTAACCTATATAGTTTTGAAGGAATACAATTTTGGAGGTTATTGAAATATTTACGTTTTTTGTAAAATTTTACATTTTCTGATAGGGATTTTTATGTGGGTTTGGTTTATTGAAGGTTTTCATGGTTCCATGGCTCCCGTTATTTATGTTATTTTATCATTACAACTTGTTTAAAAAGATCAAGATTATAACAGGTGCTATTTCTTTTTTACTTAAGAGTTGTTTCTTTTGGGACTGTTTACAAGGGCTATATTGATGAGAATGTTCGGGTTGGTCTCAATTCTCTTCCTGTTGCTGTTAAGGTTCTCAACAAGGAGGGTCTTCAAGGCCACAAATAATGGCTTGTAAGCTCCTCTAGTTCTCTGTCAATGCAGCAACTAATTCTTTGTTTTGTTTTATCTTCCTTATACCATTAATCCATATCTGTAATGGTGTTTTGTGTTGTAGACTGAAGTTAATTTCCTTGTTCAGCTCAGACATCCCAATTTGGTGAAATTGATTGGGTATTGCTGTGAAGATGACCACATATTGCTTGTTTATGAGTTCATGTTTCGAGGAAGCCTTGAAAATCACCTCTTTCGAAGTATGCAGCTTCGTACCATATATATATCTTTTTTTTCTTTATATCAAACATCTCAACCCCCCCCCCTTTTTCCTAACTTCAATACTCTACATAACAAATAGTATATGACATCTTCAGCCATGATAGTTGTAATACCAACTTAAATACCAACAATGATCATAAAAAGCCTTTCTTGGTAACTGTATTAGAATTATTAGTGATTTAGTGGTAATTGCAAGAGGGAGAGGAAGGGTGACAATCCCTTCATTATGTTTTAGCATCTAGGTCAAAATTGTTTATTATATCTGACTTGTTCTGTCTTTCTTTCCCTTTTAACAGTTCAATTGTGCTTCATCATTTTGTCATGTTTGTACTTTGATCACAAATATGTCAAAGCTAATACTGATCTAGCATTGTTTCATTATTGTAAATATTTCTAAGGACATATGGTTGTTGATAGCTTAGTATGTGGGAAACGTGCTTATATATTTCTGTTAATACAAATAAGATTACCAAAGAGTAAAGACATTAAAAATTTATAAATGACTATTTTAGCCTTCCTAACATTCTAAATGACTAAAAAACTTGTTAAACAACACCATATTTTTTGTAGTGTTAACTTATTTTTGAAATCCTCATAAACAAGTGCGCCATTATCATGGCCAACAAGATTGATGATTGCTTTTGGAGCAGCAAAAGGCTTAGCCTTCCTTCACAATGCTGAATGACCAGTAATCTATCGAGACTTAAAGACTTCCAACAATTGCAAATGAACTGAAGAAAACTGGTATGTTACTGTTTTATGAATTATTGAAGGTTATTATTGTTTGTTTTAGATGATTAATCAGGTTAAATCTTATTACTTTTTTTTATTATAAAAAGTTAAACTTTGATGTTATAATAATCAGAGCACGGGGAAAACATGAATTTACTAAATGTACAATAAAATATAGAGTGCATAATAGAGATTAGATATTAATATTGATGTACTTGTGTGTATTTGATTTTAGGAGGTAGAAATACAATGCATGGGCATAAAAGTGGTACAAATATTCTGCTGGATGTATTGTCAAGCGGGTCACCACCTGCTCCTGCTCCTGCTACTCAAAAAAGGTCATGTACATCTAATCTCTTATCCTTGACTCAATTTAATAATAATAATAATAATAATAATAACAATAATAATAATAATAATAATAATAATAATAATAATAATAATAATAATAATAATAATAATAATAATAATAATAATAAACCCTCACCTTCACCTTTTAGTGCTTTGGATACTCTTTCATCACCTATACCTACACCTGGTGCTTCCCCTATGATGGATCTATTAGATGGATTCGGTCCAAATCCTACACCACCGCCACCACCTAGTAAGTATATTATTATTATTTTATTATTTTTTCGATCCGAGTAAATGATGCTTACCACTTGGGGAACTGCTAGGAAAAAATAAATTAAGTTTACATGACTCGATCTTGTTCATTTTACCCTTACATTCCAAAAAACAAATTTCACAATACCCATCAATTTTAAGCCAACGGGAAGGGAAAAAGGTAAAAGGGTATAAGATTTTATTTTGATGCATGAACATTGAATAGAAGAAGAGGAGAATGGGCAAACATATCCACCAATTGTTGCATTTGAGGGTGGTGCATTGAGCCTAATGTTCAACCTGTCTAACTAACCTGGAAGTCCACAAATAACTTAAATTAAAGCAAAATTCACAAAACGTCTTCCCAGGTCTATACAGATTTCATCTTCCATGCAGCAGTGCCCCAAGGTAAAAACTATATCTGCTCCCTCCCTCCCTATATCTATAATATATATATATATATATATATATATATATATATATATATATATATATATATATATATATATACATCTGTTTTGGTTTCTTGCAAATTTTGTCCTTATTTGAGACTTTTTATAACGTTTTTGTTCCTTTGTCTAAGTAGAATGGCTTTTGGGACCAAAATTGCAAAATTCAGCTAAGGTCCCAAATTGAAATTTTATTTTCTAACTTATTGTCTCATTTACAAACCAGACACACATACACAGTTCCTACAGCTGCATTTAGAGCCTGCTAGCAGTAATACTCTTCCTGGAAAGGCCAGTGGTTCTATAACACAGAAATTACGAGTCACCAAAAATCAACATGGCAAGGTATTTATTTATTTATTTATTTTTAATATTCAATATAGAATACTACTCTCTTGTTTTATCACCCACATGACTCATGAATGTTGTTTTGAGTAGAAATCAGTTGTGATGCACATATGAATAAGCTACAAGTTGAACAAAAAAGATATGTTGGAGGAAGGGCAAATCAGTACCTTCCCTCGCAACTTGTGAACCATCTCTCTCTCTCTCTTTCTCTCTCTCTCTCTCTCTATCTCTCTCTTCCTACTTGTTTTTGGTTTTTGGTGCAGGTGAGTCATTGTGCATATGCATATAATGTAATTATGTGTTGTGGTGCAGGTGAGTCAGTATACAACATAAGGGGTTGAAAGAGCGAGAGATGGCCTCACAGAAGCATACGCCATTGTTGACATCATGGCTGCAAGCAATTAAAATCATTCATTTTATCTTTTTAAGTTTATTTACTGATATGATTTATTAATTTCCGAAATTGCCCTCAAGTACTGCAAGTCAGAGGTGTATACAGTTAACAATTGGATGGCATTTGGACAATTGTCATTCCTCTCATATGCTCTTAACATTGGCTGCATTCAAGAAATAACTTATTTACAATATCATTGTACTTTTGTTTTCTTAAATTCTCCTTATTACAAGTTTGAAAAATCTACCTAGTTATAGGTATGCCATTGAAATATAAAGCAACTTTCTCTATGATACCTGAGTAAATATTCATGTGATTGATTACTTGACATTTATATTTATTTCTTTTCTTGTATTAGGTACAAAGTACGATTTGGATTATAAATTTCCTAATAGATCAAGACAAAACTTCAAGTCAGGAAAAGATATGGAAGCCTTTCTTTTCTGTTTAACTTTTCTTCTGAAGATATGGAAGCCTTTCTTTTCTGATTAACTTTATATTCACCATTGTTAATTGATCTTTTAGATTGCAGCTTCCATGTCATCGTACTTCAGGTGTTTAGTTACTTTTTTTTCTATTCAATGAGAAATATTTTTTCACTGTTTGGTTTAATGGAAGATGAAATCAAGCTTTGCAATTCACTGATGAGGACTGGAAACAACTGAATGACATTAGTTATTGGATACAAGGAAGATGACCAGGGGGTGTACTTCACATGAAACATAATTATGCTCCAAAACTTACAGAAGCTCATGAGTTTGTTGCTGAGTTATCATGTCATGTGAATCAGAGGAATCAAAGACAAACTGTTGCAGGGGGGCATTAATTTATCGGTAAACACTTTTGGCTCTGTTTGATTGATAACTATTTCTATATAGTAAATGTTAACCTTGGTCTTTGTGTTTTTTGTTCATAGATTACAAACACCAATTTCTTTCAAACAACAGAAGATCTAGAGTTTAATTGGGTGATTGAAGGTGATGGATGTAATCTTGATTCTGGAACTCTCAGTCTACCAACATTAGAGTTTAATTGGGTGATTGAAGGTGATTTTGGTTCTTGAAACGAGACTCAAGATATCATATTTTGGCATGGCTAGAAGCTTTGGAGGAAACGAGACTCAAGCAAAAGTAAACACACAAAGAGTTGTTGGCACATAGTAAGCTAGATGATGCAATTGTATATAAAAGAGTTCATTTTTTTATAACATTTACTCACTTTCGGAATAATTATTTGTATTTAACATATTAGTGAAATGAATTATCTTTGTTATTTATGGTATTTTATTTTGTATTATGAGATTTTTAATGTATTATTTAATTTGAAAATTAGTAAATGTATAAATAATATTTTTTTTAAACATTTAAAATTATGACACGCAAAAATGTGTGTCATCTTCATTTATGACATGGCCTTTCTTGACAGGGGCTTTCTTGATACGCATTGCGTGTCATTAACACGCGCGTCGTAAGGTAACGAAACGCGAATGTGTGTCGTCTTCTTTTATGACAGGGCCTTCCTTGATACACATTGTGTGTCGTAAACGCGCGTTGTAATTGCGCGTCGTAAATGAGCGTCGTAAATGCGTGTCGTCTCTCTTTATGACAGGGCCTTCCTTGACGCGCATTTGCGCATCGTCTGAGCCTTTTACGACGCGCAATGAGCGTCGTAAAAGGCTGTTTTTCTAGTAGTATTCTTCATCCTTGTGTGTTTTTGTCTTTGTAAAGTTCTTGGTGGTGTTTAGAAGCTTGAAAGAAGGAAGAAGAAGTTGAAGAAGAAGAACTTGAGTATCTTGAGCTCAAAGATCCGAGATTACATCACCATTTGGCACTCATTTGAGGTAAAAAGCTATAAACTTGCCTCATAAATGCTTAGATCCATGTTAATGGAGTTTTCGACCTTCTTAGGTCCCAAGAATGGATTTTTATGGTTCAACTTCGTTCTTAGGCTTAGGGTTGCCACCCTTAGTGCTAAATGTGTCCCAATATCTAGGTTCCATCTTTAAGGTCCTTTTGTGACCATGCATGAGTTCTAGCCAGTTCTATGGAAGTTAGTTGTTATATTCCAAGTTTGGGTACACTTGGCGGGTTGCAAGCCACCAAGTAAACGACTTTATGAGTTAAGACATGTTAAAAGACTCAGATCTGTAAATTGGGCTTAATGTATTAACGAAGTTTATTGCTTAACAGGGAAGTATGTTGGGCATACAAGCCAGCGCACACAGCGTACTAGCCATGCAGTCTATATGCTTACCTTATAAAGGAGTACGCCCTACGTACTCACTGATTTGGGCTTCACGACATTTGGGCCTCAGTTTGGGCCAATCTTTGGACTTCTTAGCTTTTGGGTCTTAGTGGTCCATCAGGAGTCAGTTAATGGGCCAAGGAAATTTTGGGGCTAAAGGGAAGGCCCATTTGAGGAGTTGGGCCCAATTTAGAAAACTCGGCCACTAGTGGGCCATTAGTGGGCTTGGAAAGATTAGATGAAATTGGGCCTAGGTTATGGTCCAAATTAGACCAGGGGTAAAACGAACATTTTACCCTAAGAAGGATTATAGGATTTTGACTAAGTATTGTTGTGATAATGATAGTCGGGGAATCGTTGAAGTAGCCGTTAGAGATTCCTTACCGAGAGATTTCGCAGTCCGCTTTCGAGGTGAGTTTTTCTTCAGTAGGAACGGGTCGAAGGCACCAATGCCGACCCGTTTACGTATGTTAGCATATTTTGGACCAAGGTCCGATGTTGGGCAGTACCCAATGTAGTTCTATATGTTTTTCGGACTTCGGTCCGACGTCGACGAAATCCTGAAGAATTTTTGTATGCTTGATGTCTTCGTGTTTCTTGCATGTGCTTGTTTATATGTTCCGGACTTCGGTCTGATGTCGGGAACTACCCGAGGAATGTTCATATGTTTATGTTATATGCTTCCGGATTTCGGTCCAATGTCGGGTGTGCCCCGCGGAATGTTTATATGTTTAAGTTAAGTGATTATGTTTATATATATATATATATATATATATATATATATATATATATATATGTGTGTGTGTGTGTGTGTGTGTGTGTTGATATGTTTATATGTATATCGGATTTCAGTCTGATGTTGGGTGGGGACCAATGCTGGATCTCGGTCCAATGTCGGGCAGGGACCACTGTCGAACTTCGGTCCGATGTCGAGCGGGGCTCGATGTAGCGGGCAAGGCCCAATGTTATGTTATTACGTGATTATGTGATTATGAGTATGGTATGTGGTAGTTTAGGGAGACTCACTAAGCTTTGTGCTTCTAGTTTTCAGTTTTGGTTTCAGATACTTCTGGTAGCAAGGGGAAGAGCTTGGAATGAATGGTGCACACACCATGAATTTAGCATGGGATGTTTTTACTCTAGTATGTTGACATGTGTTTTGATATGATACTCTGATTTGATATGATGACTTATGTTTTTGGATAGAATGATATGATAACTATGATTTATTTAATAATTAAAAATGAAACTTTTGGACCGTATTTTTGGGATGTTACAATTATTTCTTTTCCTAGTTTATTTTAGCTCATTCCATCTCATTTTAGTTATTATTCATGCATATTTTCTCTTTTTATTATTTTCATCTTTATCAGGTACTTTCTAGTCTTTTTAGCTTAATTGTAGGATATTTTTTCGAAAACTATTTAGCATGGAGAATTATGGGACCTTGAATGCGGGAAGCTTGTCGTACTCGTGGGCAAAGCTATGGAACTCATGGACTTGGATTGAAAAGGAATAAGATAATCAATGTTGGTTTAAAAAAGAAGATGGAACGAGAATGGTCTTCACTTTGAATGAAGAACGATGATGAGGAAAATACGAGCTTTGAAAGATAAAAGGAGCAATGGACCATCTTGGAAGAGTTTAGAAGGCATATGTGGGCCATCAAGAACCTTGCATTGGGTTGGATCAAGATTTGAAGCATTGGAGACATAGAACCATTTAAAGATGGGCTAAATTGGCCCAATCAACACTCACACGCCGTCCATGTGGATTCACAAACCGCTCGCATGGATCGTGTAGTGAAGGATCCGGATTTTAGCCTTTTACCTCTATTTCGGGAAAGTTGGTGGTATGCTTTTGGGCATCTTTTTCAACCAAATTTTAAACCCTTTGACTACACTTTTGGGAGGCAAGGTAGGAAGATCTCTTAAAGAAAACCCATATACTTTTGCTCTCAAGAAGACTTGAAGATTTGGGGAATTTTTCATCTTTGATCTCGATCAATGTTTGGTATTTCTAAACTATCTTGATTTTCTTTAATCTTAACCATGTTAGGCTAAGTTTATGTTTGGTTGATGTTGGTTTCACCCATGGATGATAAGTTATTTTGATGATTCTTATGAACTTGTGTTTGAAATTTATGGAAATGTTTTCTAGTTGAACATCTTCTTATGTTTGTTTGTCTTTGATCATGAGCATGGATAATTAGTATTTATTTTTTTGATTAATTTTTTTGTTGAAGTAATGGACCCTCAAATTATTAAGCAACAAATGGTTGATGTGTTTGTTTTCATTGTACTTAAGCCATGGAAATATTTCCTCTATAATTATAATGTAAGCATTTGATTATCTTTTGGACATAGTAACTCATAAAACTTAATGCTAGTTGACTTTCACAAAATTACATGCTTCATTAGTTTTTTGACTTCGATTAAGGAAATGTGCTATGAGATCTTCTAACCATTTTAATAACAAATAATATTTGATGTGATTTATGCTTATGAATTGTTATAGTCGAGTAAAATAAAATCACAAGTGTGGCACCATTTTGTCTAATGATAAGTTAGCTAAGAAATCCATGTGGTGCATTCTGGTGGGTATTATGCAAAACATATTAATCATATGTTTACATGCAACCCAAAAAATTGATCTATGTTTTCTCTAATTGAACATAGAACTTGAACAAAAAAATAGAAAAGCCCTACTAGAATATTTTCAAAATACACAATTACGGTTAGAAGAATCATACCTTGATTGTTATATAGTAATAACAATGCAAATCCTTCTATTTCTAAAGCCTTGAGAGCAAGCATCGCAAATGACATGCCTCTAGTAGTTCGCGCCCAATGCTAGTAATGGAAGATGATTGAGAAGGAAGAGAGGCTCAAATTTTTGGACAGCTCTTCAAAGTAACGAGTGTCAGAAAATTTTAGGGTTGAGGCTGTTTATATAGTGCAGTCAAGAAACAATAGATAAACCCTAATCCAAGATAATCTTAAACCGGGTAATTATCCACTTTCATGTTTATCCACCAACAACTATTCTAGAAACCCTAAGGCCTATGGAAACTGTCCAACCCTATGGAGGGTTCTAGATTGCCTTTTGCTTAACTATTGAACAATTGCACTTTAGTCCCTGCACTTTTAATTAATCCTTTTAATCCCAAAATTAATTCCAATTACTTTCTTATTAAATATTACTATTTCTAACTAATATATTATTTTCATAATATATTAACAAATCATTTGTTTCAATTTATTCATCAAATAATGAATCAACCCCTTTATCCAAAATCATACAATCTAGTTGCTAGTCTTCAGGGAAACCCAAAAGGACTGTGCTACTATCAATTTAAGTATATACCAATTATAGTTATGGGCTTAGACACCTAATCCAACCATATTCCACTTGGATAAGTCTAATAACTATAGTTTCCTGTATAACTTCCAAACTGATTAGCAAATTTTAGCTCTTAAAAGCCGCTAACGAACTCTGATACAGTCAGATACATGTCCTAAGATAAGTGATCATATAATCCTCCGTACTGCAAGATATCATGTGGACATGAGACATGGAATAGATTTAATCTCATTTCCAACACTTTGTTTCCCAATTTATGATTTGTAATGAAAAAGAACTACTAATCAAACACATCAATCTAGTCGTGGTCGGGCTCGTTAGTATAAGTCAACACCAAATCATCAAAGGGCCCAAAGATATCGCTTTTCCCCCTAAGGATAAAAAGGAATAGATAAATTTTGACTTATATGCTTGTACTATTTACTCATCAAAACATACACAACAATACATTTTATA